GCATGTTTTTATTTATCTCTGTGTTTATAAACATTTGAATTTGTCCCTCACCTCATGCCCCCCCTCCCCCTCCTCCCTCCCAAACAGCGTCGGCACAGCGAGATCACGTGTCTGGAGTGGGTGTGGTGGCTGTGCAGCATCATCGTCACCGTCTTCAACATCCTGCTGTGCGTGTGGTTCGGCCTCCTGTCGGACATCCTCCCCACAGCTGTGTCTGCTGTGGCGGCTGCGCTGTACCTGCTGTTCTTCAAGTTCGCCAAGGATGACATTAAGCAGATGGGGGAGGAGGAGGAGGAGGCGGCAAGCAGGGAAGGTCCAGGTGAGGGTTTTGCTGTTGCAAGGACTTTGGTTGTATTGTTGCATGGTGTTTGTTGTTATTGTTGCAAGATGGATGTTGTTGCTAGGTATTTGTATTTGTCGTTGCAAGATATTGTTATTATTGATGTAAGATGTTTGGTGTACTGTTGATAGTGGTTTATTTTTGTTGTTGCAAGAGTTTTTTGGTGTTGTTTCACTAGCTTTGTTTTTATTGTTGCTGGAGATTCGTTATCGTTGTTGCAAGATATTATTTTTTATAGGATTTTTTTTTTGCTACTGAGATTCGTCGTTGTTGTTGCAAGAGTATTGATTATCATTGTTGCAAAATGTTTATTCTTGTTTCAATGGCTTTCTTGTTATTATTGCAAGAAATTCGTTATACTGTAGCAAGATATTTATTATTGTATGTTGCGGTGATTTAGTAATACTTTAAGCCATTATCTTTGAATTCTCTATAGCATTTTTCTCAATAAAGCTTTGTTATCAGCATTGCCATTGTTTTAGCTATCGTCTTGTTGTTAGTATCCTGTACCTCTTATAATTTGTATCATCAATAAAAGTAGTTGGTATTGTTGCTGTACAAGCACTATTGTTGTCTTTGTTATTATGAAATTTTATATTTTGTATTGTTATTTCATTTCTATTGCCATTTTCTCCATCATCAATATTGTTGATGTTATTATTGTTGTAGTTGGTTTCATCATTATTATCATCATTATTATCATTTATTATTATTATAATTATTATTTTTATCACTACCATTACTATTATCATTATCATTATCGTTGTCATCATTATCATTATGAATAATATTTTTAATGGTCGTTATTATATAATTGTTATCATTACTGACTGCCTTGATATTTTTAATGTTGCTACCATTGTTATTATTGATATGGTATTGTGTACTACTCATTATTTGATTTCATTACTACCATTGCTATTGTTGATAAGGTATTTTATACTACTTCTGATTATTTCATTAGGCGTATCATTAGTACTATCATTATCATTCACTATTGCTGTTATCATTGTCACTAACGGCAGTATGGGCATTGCTGTTATTTATATTATTAGCATTATCAGATTAATTATTGTATTGACTATTTTTTTCAGAATATATTGAATGATCGACACCAAAGATCTACCAAGAAATTAAATAAATGAACAGACTACCTACAAAGAACGACCGACAGTTTAATAAGAAAAAGATAGATTTTATTTGTGTGTGGATATTTGAATATAAAAGTATTTGTCAGAGAAACTGTGAATATAACCTATGAATATAATTCAGCTATACCCATAACATATCGTAAGTATTTATTCTATAAATATCTATAAAGGCCTTAAAAGATTTTTTTTTCCGAGATGGATATTCATTTGCAGATTTTATGTTTTGTATTCACTGGAGTAAATTGTAAAAGAGATGCTGGTTAATTTTCATATTCCAACACCCATGAATAATTAAAATACTCCATGACTGTCTTAATGCAGGTCCCAAGTCGGGTAATTTAATTTTGTAATTATATTCTGCTTTAATAAAATATTGACGAACCGTCTTGTTTTTATTTATCTTATATATTATTAGGGTTAATGAGCTGTAACTATCAAATTAATGGGTGTGCGGGTGATGAATAAGCTATGTCTGTTAATTTTTTCTTTATGTTTACCCTGGTGTGTATGTGTGTGAGTAATAAAGTGTGAACTTTTTTGTACATGTGTATTATGCGTGACGTTTAAGACCGAAGATAAATATCTACTCTATATAATTTTCTAGAAGTAGCATAGGTTAGACCGAAGATAAATATCTACTCTATATAATTTTCTAGAAATAGCATAGCTCTGTGGTAGAGTTCTAGTTTCGCAATCATAAGGTCTCGGTGATCAGCCTATCTCTCTTGACTCGGCTGTGAGACTGGCTTCCTGTCGGGGTCAAAGTCGGGGCAGAGAGGAACAGGTCATCCTACTGCATCATCCCACGGCTAAGTACGCATGCGCCTCAGTGTCAACTTTGACTTTTGACACTTGACAGGAGCCGTTCAAGTTCAAAAGACCGCCGTTTCTAAACTGGCCATAATTTTATCGTTTTTAATGTGTCATGATCCAGTTTCTTTCATTTGTTTATTTTGCGTGTGTGTGTGTGTGTTTTGAATGTTACTAACATATCACTTCCTCTCACACA